ATTACCAATTTGGCCAAATATTAAAAGCATTTACATGAAGAGTATTTACTATTACTGATTTCTTTGGAGGGGGGCAGGGGCTGAGATAGATGAAAGGTCTTCCTACATTGTCCAGACTGAACTCAAGCAAATGGACTCATAGGATCCTCTGCTTCAGGCCTCCCTAGTGCTGGGACTATAGATGTGCACCAACTGGCCCAGCTACCATTAAAGACTGGGAATATGGCTTAGTGGTAGAGTACAGCCTTGAGCAAAAGAAGCTTAGGATAGTGCTTAGGTTCAAGCCTACGACTGGCAAGAAAAAAAAAAAAAAAGACAGGCAACTTAGAGACAAAGTAAGTACATAACCCTAATCAATATGATACACAATTTTACTAGACTGGGCAAATATCAACTTTTTTAAATGCAAAAGTCATATATTTATCAAGGAAGATGTTATGAATACAGTATGGGAAAAGAATGATTAGATAGATATATCAAAATGGATTATAAATAATTGTAATTACAGAATTACTTACTCATATAAGTGTGATAGTATGTGCTATTCTTTTTATAGTAGCATAATTTTTAACTTACTAACAGTAACATGCAATTAGGAAATTTTTTCATCCAGTTATAACTAACTTGAATAATATAGAATTTGGCCTTTTTTTGGCTCCAGGAAGGAGACAAGACCCTTAACATTTCTTGAGTAAGGGCAATGTCTTTTTTTTATGAATGTTTTAATATGTCATTTACTATAGATGTTATGTTTGATATCAATGCTAACATTATCATCTCATTTAGCAAACATCAATTTTAAAAGTCCTTTCACCTTTCTTATTATGGGGTAAAAGGTGCCGTGTGCCGGGAGGAGTGTGCGCCTTTGCCATGGAGGGAGGGCTCTCTAGTGCAGCCATGAGATCTCAACGTCAGGAGTACTCTGCTAACTCTACTTACTATCAATCTCTTTTAAGGAAATACTCTTCTAAGTATGGAATTCTACATGTATAGAATATCCACAGTGATATAATTTATAACAGATATACCAGAGACAGTTTATACATCTGTCAACTGCAGAATGAAACCATGAGTTATGAGGTATTTAGCAGCTATTAAGAAAGAATAAGGTAGATTTTAACAACCAAGACAAAATTGGAACTATGATCTATAAGTGAAGGAAATATTTTAAAAATTGCAAAATTATTTGTAACATATGATCTCATTTTAGGTTAAAAGCAAACAAAACAATCTCTCCCAGGGACTCTATATAAAGACAGCAAATAGTCTGAAGTACACACCACACTTTCAGCAACTGTGACTAGTAGAGAGGTGAGCAGAGCATTACCGTTATCTTTATATTCATCTCTCAATTTATTTACCTTGTTTTTTTCTTTTTCAGTGGCTAATATAAATTTCAAATGTAATTTAAAAATCTCCCACCCCACCCCTCACAGTATAGCGTTTTGAATATATATTAAAGAAGGCTGAAAGCTTTGATGGTCTCATTCACACAGTCTTTGGCAAACGGATCAATTCGTTCATAAAGGCTGCATAAGGACATTAACGGAACAGCAAGAAGGATTTAGCTATCTCACAGCATATGATTGCCTCCTTTACCAACCCAGCAGGTGCTTTTCCCAGGCCAGCTACTCCGACCTGGCTGACAGGACAGGCAGGGCTTGCTGAGATACCAGCAGCTCATTTTCATAGTTAATGTCTCAGCCCCTTTGTCTGAAAGCTCCTTGAGTGATCCAAGAAGCTAGCCTGGAGGCAGGCACGCCTCATGCACTATAGTTCAATTAAATTTACCTCCCACACCACCCCCTCAAGGGTTCGTTCACCCACTGATACAGAGTAGGAATGAGCAAGATGAGGGTGAATATTGGAAGACAAAATGCCTACTGATAGCTGACAGACAACAGACAGCCCCCCCCCATGAAGATAGTCTAATCTTCCCTTTTTCTTTCTTCTAAAAGTTGAGCTAGATATTTGTAGTATCTCCAGATGAAGCCTCTAAAAAGAGACAAAGATCTGGAATCTCCCTCCTCGTTCATGATAAAGATGATGTTTCTATGAAGAGCCACTGTCAAAGAGAGCATACAATACCTCTGCTGTAGGGGTTAATTTTCATTTCATTTGCTTGTAAACAAATGAACAGCTCCACTCTATCCTCTGTAAATGTTGTGATTAAAAATATATACCAGAGGGAATGGGAAGGTGGCTCAGTGGTAGAGTGCATGCCTTGCAAGCATGAGGCCCTGGGTTCGATTCCTCAGCACCACATAAACAGAAAAAGCCGGAAGTGGTGCTGTGGCTCCAGTGGTAGAACGCTAGCCTTGAGCTGAAGAGCTGAAGGACAGCGCCCAGGCCCAGAGTTCAGGCCCCATGACCGGTAAAAAAAAAAAAAAATATATATATATATATATATATATATATATATATATATATATACACCAGAGGCTGGGAAGGTGGCTCAGTGGTAGAGGGCTTGCCTTGCATGCCTGAGGCCCTGGGTTCGATTCCTCAGCACCACATAAGCAGAAAAAAAAGCCGGAAATGGTGCTGTGGCTGAAGTGGTAGAGCGCTGGCCTTGAGCTGAAAGAGCTGAGGGACAACACCCAGGCCCAGAGTTCAGGCCCCACGACCGGATCCAAAAATAAAAATAAAGAATTTCGCTCTTAATATAAAGACAAAGTCACAGACAGAGAGAAAAAAATACATCTGATAAAGAATTTATGTCCAAAGTATATAGAGAACTCACAAGTCAGTAATAAGAAATCTAGTTTTAAAAATGAGCATAAGGTCTCAACAGATATTTCATCAGATGGTAAACAATCATATAAACAGATGCTCAACTATAGAAATAGAAATTTAACCCCTCAGAAGATATCACAACATACCTACTAGCAGAGCTAAAATTTTTAAAAACCTAATGATGTTAGGCACTAAGAAGGATACACTGAGCAAGAGTTCTTATGTCCTGCAGCTGGGGATGCAGAATGGTGCAAGTACTCTGGGAAATGCTTGGGCAATTTCCTTACATAACATCAGAGATGTCCTAGGACCCAGCAATCCTACTGCAATGTGTTTATCTAAGTGAAAAGAGAACACATTCAACACAGAAATCTGTGTATGTATAGTAGCTCTATTTATAATTGCCAAAAACTACACATGACCCAATGTCCCTTGAATAGAACTCACAATGAAAAGGAACAAATCACTGATATCTGCAACAACATGGGCAAATCTTGTAAGTGTTATGCTAAGAGCACATGCTGAATTGAGTCCATTTTTACAACATTCTGAGAAGGATAAAATCATTGGGACACATCAAGACAGTAGTTGCCAGGGCTAAGGAGTGAGGAGTGAGGGATTTCTTATAGAGACATGGGAAGATTTTTTTTCATATGATCAAACAGTTCTGTATTACACAACTTTGTCAAAATTTATAGGACTGCGTGCATACACATACACACACACAAAACAACTGTTAATGTATCTAAATTGTAACTATTTTAAAAGCTCTAAATGAAAACTGTAAGATACAAAACAAAACTTACTATGAAAATAATCACAACTCCCTTGTATAACTAACTGATGTTAATAAAAAATGTAGAGGGGGCTGGGGGTTTAGCCCAGTGGAAGGGCGCCCGCCTGGCACGCGCAAGGCCCTGGGTTCCATTCTCAGCCCTGGAAAAAAAAATGTAGAAAGAAGGAAAAATGACTACAAAGTTTCTATATGCCAGAAGTGGTAGTGCATGTTTGTAACCCCAGCACTCAGGAGAGTGAAGTAGGAGGATCAAGAGTCCAAAGCCACACCAGATGCTGGTAGTTCACAACTATAATCCTAACTACTCAGGAGGCTGAGATCTGAGGATCACTGTTCAAAGCCAGCCTAGGCAGGAAAATCCATGAGACTCATCTCTAATTAATTGGCAAAAGGTTGGATATGGAGCTTTGGCTCAAGCAGTAGAACACTGGTTTTGAATGAGTAAGATAAGGGACAGTGCTCAAGGGACAGTGTTCAAGCCCCAGTACTGGCATGTACACGTCTACCCCCCCCCACATACACACACATGCAGGCACACACATGCAAGCACACACACACACAGAGAATTAAAAGTCTGTATCAAAAAAACCTAAACAAATAAAATTAAAAACATGATAAATGATAATAAGAAAATAAGGTCTACAATGCCATGCCCATACCACACGCACATCTTCTTAGGCACCTGCATCCTCTGAAAGGTCTAGCAAAGGCATTTCAAAGGAAGCCATCTTATGCCCAGTCTTCCAGAAGCCATGGGCTGTCTCAGGACTGAAAGAGGCCTTACTCATGTGCCATAAAGCATGGAGTACCTGCAAGCCACAGAAGCTGGGACAGACCACAGGGCGTCCCTCACACTACAGTGGAAAACCGCACTGCCATTCCTCCTTAGAGAACCACTGTTAGCCCAGTGCTGCAGCAGCACTCTCTCACCTTGGTCCCACTGCACTTATGCGACAGGCTGGACCCGGTCCTGCCGCATTCCCGCCCTCACCAAGGAAACTGAATTTTGCAGAGCCAATGAAAGTAGGCCAAGGCAACAAGCACTCTAGTTACCGGACAGCAGCCAACCATAGGCCCTTTGCTAGGAGTGTCCCATTCCCAGGTCAGGACTCAAAGGCAGAGTCTGTGCCATCAGCCCAAACCCAAAGGGACTGACTTGTTGGGCTTGTTTTATGCCGACCGGTTGAGGTATTCATGACTGAGCCTCAGTGTGTGCTGCCCTCATCCCACAGCTGTCACTCAGGCTGACCCAATCTTTTCCTTGCTGTGTGTGGGGGAAGGTGGCAGCTGCCTCCAACCTGGGACAGGTATGGAAAATAAAAGACCATGTTGCCAAACCTGCTGCTAAATTCAGCTGCCTGAACCCAAGCAGCACCATAGAACATTACTGTCCCCTTCCACCCAAGAGTACAAACTTTTCAAATCTTTCTGGAGTTGTTTCTGCCGTGGGGAGTGAGGTGGGGAGTACCTTTCATTTTTTCATCCACTGATGCTGGTTTCTTCGTCTCCGCTGTTAAAAGCAGCTCATAAGGGTGTTCATCTTCTTCCCTGGCCGCACTCCCCTGAATTCTGGGTCTCATGGCCAGGACCTATGAAAGAGAAATACCCAGTATTCCCTGAGTACCCAGACAGGTGGTGTTGAACAGTTAAGATTGTCACCTCCTCTGCCTCTAAGGGGAAGAGAAGGTGATAATTCAAGTGTCACAGGGAACTGCATCTGCTATCGTTTGCCACCCAAAGACTCAGTGCTGGAAATTTGGTTCCCATAGTGGAGGTGATGAAGAACAGAAATATCTTTAGGAAATGGGGTATAGTGGGAGGTTCGGCTGTGGGAGCATTCATGATTGGATCTACTCATGGATGGATTGAGACTGCTTCTCTGGAGTTCTAGGTCTTGTGGGACTGGATTAGTACCAACAGAGTTAAGTTGTTATAACCAAGCCTGGCACCTCCCCAACTCTTGCTTCTGAATGCTCCCACCATGGCATGTAGCCATCATGGTGAGGGGCAGCCAGAAGACCCTCAGTAGAGGCTAACCAGATGGAGCTGACTGGTCTTGGGTTTTCCAAAAACTGTGAGCTAAGCAAACCTCTTTCTTCATGAAGTACTCAGCCTTAGGTCAAATCTCAGTGGTTTGACTGGAATGCTCCTCTTTCCCTACCTCATTTTATCCTTGAAAGAACAACACATAAAATCTATGACCCTTGCCCTCCCCTTGCCTTTCCCTCTCCATGGTGTTTTGCACAATCTCTTTCCTGAGAATAACACTTCCCAAGTGGCTGTTAGGAACACAATATCATGTTTCTTTTCCAACAGGCACACATACTATTCAAAGGCTGGTAACCTTTCCATCTTTCCAAGATGGAAGCAAAATAACTTCTGACTGATCCTTAATATCTACCAATTAGAAACCAAATGATCTGTAAGTCTATCTTGTTGTGAGCCTCTCTTCATGGGTCTGGGGAAAGGCTAGGAGGGGATGAAGGGGAAGGAAGAATTTCCCTAAAGCTGGCTTCCTATCACATAGGTAACAAAATCTTAAATTACATCCTCCAATCTTTGCTCTCAAGAGTCAAGCAGCTAGGAGGTAAGAATTTTATGGCAAGATTCTGTCTACTGAGAAGGCCATGATTCAGGCAGCCAAGCATCTCCAGTGGAAGAACACTTGCAGCTGTGAAGCTGAGGGTCTGGTGGTCACCACTAGGCATGGCACCAGAATAGCTGAGATTTCCTCCTGAAAACAAGCCAGAGAAACCTTTATGAAGTACTATAACCATACTGGGAGGATGGAGGTTCTTTGCTCTAGAGGACAGTTCTGCTTATTTATCCTAAGATGCCATTGTGTTTCTCAGGAAAATTAATAATCATATATAATAGCTCTTAGAATAGCAACCAAAGCACAAAAATCTCTTGTTGAACAGTTTGGCTAGGACAAGTAATTTATTACAAACCAGGTGGGAGGGAAGAGGATTCCATTTGCACCTAACAAGTAATGAGGCCTTACAAATGTGACTTTTCTGTACACAGAGAAACCTCCCAATCTGAGCATCCTACAGCTTAGTGGAAACCTATGAAACCTATCAGATTTGTGATTCATCAGGATCTTGCCTCTATAAGGCACAGCTCACTATGTCACAGCCTAAGGAGATGAGAAGGACTCTCCTAGCCTCAGACTAAATGAGAGGCCACAGCTCCTGTTTGTTAACAAGGCTGCCACTCTAAAGTCAGAATGATGGGCTCTTTCAAAATTCTGCTAAGCACAGTGGGACCCTCCACTTAACTGCAAGCACCTGGAAACTAAAAGCTGGTTCACTACAATGAGCCATTTGCCTTTATTACTATTCCTAGCCTTTCATAGAAATACAAGTACAGGAACAAAGAGGAGCCATTAAGAAGTTCACACTGTGTCAACTTAATACCACAGGCTTTACAGACAGGAATTTGTGTTGTGTAGGCTTATTCCACCATAGCCAAGACTTAGGCTGGGCCCTGGAAATCTGATTCCTTGCATGTTATGTCTTAGTAAGAGCCCTCATAAAGCCTCAGGCTGCTTCTGTAAGAAGTAACTGACAGTGTGACCTATATCTTTTCTTCTCAAGCAGGACAGGACAGAGGATTTCCAGCTGGACAATGAAGCCCATGGGCCTGCATTCACTGTGTACCTGGCTCTGTGCTGGACAACTGCACCAAAATCATCAAAGCAGCTAGAAGGGACCTTAAACCTCCAGCCCTATTGCTCGCAGATAACACACTAAGTCCCAAGTTACAGTGAGTTCAAGGCAGAGCCATGGTCAGAAAATACAGTTCCCTGGGTTCTGAACTATATTGCTTTTTTCCATTTTAGAACATTTTCCTCCTCCAGCTGACAGCCCCTTCACTCCTACCAGACAATAAAGAAGGGTGCTCTTTTCCTCTTGAGGCTGGCCTCTACCAGCAAAGGGATAAAAAAAATCCCACAATGAAACAATAAACTACTTTTCTGCAAACCATCCTGGCTCTCACCAAAGAAGCTATGTCAGTGAATATGGCAACAACTGATTTTCAACAGAAAGGATTGTGCTCTTTACTAAATTACTCCTTAATCTCCTTTTCCCTTTCCTCCAGGCCTGGCAATAAATCAAAGCTGGAAAAAAATACATTTTTTGCCATGTAGAAAGCAATGGAAAAAAAAAAAAAGGTATGAGCAGCCACCATCTACCTAATTGTGCCCAATGGAATGTCCAGTTGGAGTGTGGGCGGCCTTCTGGAAGATACCATAGCAGCTGCAACCCCCACAGAAACTTAGCACAAAGACCAGTCATCCCAGGCAGCTGACAGCCCCTTCCTTGGGGGCAAAAAACATTTCAACCACGTTTGTGTTATGAGTGTGGGGGCGTGCATGAGGGTATGTGTGCGCGTGTGTGTACACACACACACACACACACACACACACACACACTCTGACAGGTACTGTTAAAACCAAACACAGATGGATTTTAGCTTCCTTAAAGGCTTCTATGAGTTATCTCACAATGACAAGTGCCTCGGGAATTTAACATTCAGGGCATAAAACACTGGAGCAGATGACTGCCAAATACAAAACCAAAGTTGGAGCTAAGGATCTGGCTTAGTAACAAAGCACATGCCCAGCATTCATGAGGCCTTGGGTATAAACCCCAGCACCACACGAATAAACAAACAATAATAACAACAATACGCAACAAAAAATCCTAAAGTTTCATGTAACAGAATCTCTTGGGACATGAAGTTTTGGGGGGAGGGGTTGTGTGTGATTTTTTTTGGGGGGGTGCCAAACTCAGATCCTGAGCACTGTCCCTTAATTCCCTCCCACCCCCGCCTCAGGGTTAACACTTTACCATTTGAGTCAAAGCTCCACTTTTAACCTTTGTGGAGGTTCATCACAGCTCAGTCTCACAAACTTTTCTGCCCAGGTTGCCCTCAAAACTGCAATCCTCAGATCTCATCTCCTAAGTAGCTGGGATTACAGTTTTAAAACTCAGGGCTATAAGAAGTAAAGACAGTTAAGACTACAGAGCAAAAATAAATAAACTAATAAATCCCACTTTTGAAGAAGTCTTTCTCATTCAGACCATGATAGAGACATAAAACATACCTGGATCATTTTAAACTATTAACTCGGGCTATAGGCTCTCTGTATCCCGTTCCTATAGTCAGTAAGTAAGCAAATTCAGGTTCTCTCGGTCTTCCAAATACCAACTGGTCTATTCAGCTGGCTGTTAGCTATGCTGGCTATTCAGAAACATGTTCTAGAAGAGAAATCTCACACTGATTCTCCTACTGTAAAGAAGATGGTGATCCCCTCATACCCTGTCACCTCTTGAAGGATGCTTTAGAAAGTCTTAGGAGAATAAAAGTCCTGGTAACCTAGTATTTCTTTGGGAGTCTTGCCCCTATCCTTAATTTTCATTGACGTCTCTGTCCCAAAGGTGGTACCAGACATTTATGGAGACCTACTGAAGAGACTCTATACTCTCAGGATTCTCCCTGTAAAAAAGGAAGCAATGAAACAGACCTCTGCATACACAAAAATACCGCATGTCCTTGAGCAACTAACAATGTACTATTACCCAGAGGCAGCAATAAGAGGGCGCAATTCTAAAGACCCTTAGCTGACGTGCTAATAAGTATTTTTCAAGTAAGGGAGAGAAAAATAAGGAGAAAATTTGTACCTAACAGAATTCCTCCTCTATCTTTAATACTGATTTTAATGGATTTGTTTTTATTTCTTTTAATTGTTGCTATTGTTGTTCCAGCTGTACTGGGGTTTGAACTTAGGTTTTTGGGCTTCCTAGGCAAGTACCACTTAAGTCACACCTCCAGCTTTAAACTTATACATTATTTTGAATATTCAATAAATGTATTCTCTGGATGGTAGGAAATGTCTAAAGAAACATGTTGAACCATGTCCTGCATCTTGTATATACATTTTTCTAATTTGGGGAGGGGAAGGGAAATAACAAAATGCTGAAATAAGGATACAGGATGACCCATTGTAACAATGAGATGTACAAGACACTATGTTGAAAATGAACTTTACAACATTGCTGGAGAGGAGGGGGGGGAAGGGATAATCTGGGGAGGTGGGGAGGAAATGGATGGTAGGGGAAAAACAAAGGAGGGAATAACAATGCTCAATAGGAAATGGATTCATTACCTTGCTCATGTAACTATAACCCCTCTGTACAGTATCTTTACAATAAAAAGTATGTATTTATAAAAAAGAAACATTGAAAATGAAACATCAAAGAAAACATAATTTTCTTCATATATGTAAGTTAAAGACTGAGTTATTTGCCCTATAATATTTCTTTATTAAAACCATTTTTATGGGGTTGGAGGTATAACTATGTTGTAAAGCACCAGTGAATGAGCTGAAAACAAGGCTTAGATACCAAGTTTGATTTCCAGTCTCAAACAACCAAAAACAGTTCTTTTAACTTATCTGACTAGTCTTTTCAAATAGCCTTTGATTTCCCTGCCTGCCCCTCCTACACAACTCCTATTTTTTTTTTCTAATTGGGTTGTCATGACTTAATTCATTTTGACTAGCAGAATCTTCATGTGAAATGAACACGTAGAATGCAAAAACAAAAGTGGTGTTGGGATTGAACTACCAAGGCTTGTTCATGTGGCATTGTCTAGATGGTAGTTTGAGTAGGGACACTACCTTTTGTACCAAAAGACAGTACAGGCATAGAAGAGAATGCTTAAACTGTTCGAATCATACTTTCCATGTAGTATGCCGGATCTATATACTTAGCCTACTGGTGGGAGAAGTACATTAAAATTCTTTTCATACTTTTGGCTGAGTTTGAGAGGTCTTGATCCAATTTACTGATCTACACAATACAAACTTAGTGAGCAAAAGGTTGATGAGAAAATGGGCTGTAGATATAGCTCAGTGGTAGAGTGGTTGCCTGGTACGGCCTTGAGTTCAACAGTAAAGAAGAAAAAAAAATGAGAAAGCAAAAGCCTTCTTTAAGCACACATGGATTCACTTTCCAACAAACTCCTATGTCAGAGATGGGAATAAACCCTCAACTCTACCTCAGAAGCTGTTGAGGGGAAATACTTCTTATTGAGGTGGTCTTCCTCTTCTTCGTCAGGTGGTGGCTTGGCTGGAGGCGGTGGACGTTCCCTCTGTAGAAAAGAAAAAAAAAAGAGCTGGGAAGGTGGCTCAGTGGTAGAGCGCTTGCCTTGCATGCATGAAGCCCTGGGTTCGATTCCTCAGCACCACATAAGCAAAAAAGAAAAAAACCGGAAGTGGTGCTGTGGCTCAAGTGGTAGAGTGCTAGCCTTGAGCTGAAGAGCTGAGGGACAGAGTTCAGGACCCACGACTAGACCAAAAACAAAAAAAAAATTCACCATCTCTCTCTCTCTCTCTTTTTCCCCCCAAGTATCTAACTTTTTTTATTTGTTCTTATTTTAGCCATTTGAAATGGAAAGGAATAATGCAAAGAACTCCCTCTAGAGCAGGGGTAAGACTGTCTGGCCTGGGGCACCTAAGGTCCATGAAAGCACTTGAAACATCACAGGACAGGCACATTTTGTCAGCTGCTTGTGGCCCCAGTGCCTGTACCGATGATTACACATGGTCTGTAGATGATGTTATAAATATCCAAATGTCCCTTGGCAGGAAAAAAAAGTTCCCCATATCTCCTCAAGAGACTAAAATTAAAGTTTGGTTTCTCAACAGAGAATAATCCTGTGCACACATGCAGTCTATTAGCATGTTCTACAGATTTTGGTGATAGAAGCAAAGATCATAAAGAACTTCTTTCATACCCTAGACCACAAGGAGAAACACTAACACTGAAAACTTGTAACTGCTTTGTTAGAAAATGTCCTTCCTATTACTCGTATATAAAACTTCAGTTAAGGCTCAATTTTCACTATACTCTAAAAAGAAAGAACTCCAGATGAAAAGTGAAATAGTTCTAAAGCCAAGGCTATTGAGTAATGAGAAAAGTGATCTAAGAGAAAACACAAATTCTTGTTCAAACTTCAATGTTATGGCCATCAGTCTATCCCTACCTTTAGCAAAAGCTCAAACGAATCTCTTAGCCAAGTGAGATAGTCAGGCTATAGTCCCAGTTATGTGGGAAGCTGAGCCAGGAGAATCATTTGAGCCCAAAAGTTCAAGGCCAGCCTATGCTATATAGTGAAACCCTATCTCAAAACAAAAACAAAACATCAGTTTCTATTTAGCCAACGAGGGGAGGCTAGGTTCTAGGGCAGGATGAAACAAAAGAGATGTGTGCCTGTGAATCCATCATGGGAACTGCATTACTCAGCTACTGCAAATAGTCCTGGGCTGCTTCTTACAAGGGTTCCAGCTCCCCCTAATGGTCATCACCTGTAATGAGCACTAGTTAGAGCAAAGCCTCCACACCTGGATTTAATTAATGTACTTGTGCTTACAACCAAAGAAGTAAAAACAACTAGCTTAGTCTACAGAAGCACAATGCTAGTGGTGTTCAGGGCATGTACCTATTTCCTCCACTTCCAAGTTGTCTCAGTCCTCGATAAGACTGATAAGCCACAAGACTGAAAGGCTTACAGAGATCTACATTGAAATGCCATGAGACTACTTCAGAACAGAGTAAGAATACCCCAAAACCCAACATTCCAAGAAATATCAGGCTACTCCAAATGCACAACTGGAAAGACCAAGGATTATCTAGTAGCCAAAAAAGTATCAAAATGATCCTATGTTAGACTTGACTAAAAGGGAAGGCCAACTTCTACAACAGGAAGAAAAAAGATCTCAAGAGGTAGCACTGGAATCCTGTTGGAGCAACGTGCAGTTGAGCCAATGGGCAATGCCTAAAGCCTCAGTTATGATGCCTGGAAATGTAGAAGGACTAGAGGGACAGAGATTCAGGCCTTGGCTCACAGTATAACTCTAGGAGAAAAGGGAAGAATCAAGAGTGTTGAGAACCAAGTACAAAACTAGAAGTGAAAGCAACAAGAAAAGAAGATGGAACTTAAGAATAGAGGAAATGAGAGGATAGGATGAGGGCTGATCACATCTTATAATTTCAAGGCTGAGGCTGTTATAATTAGATAAAACAGGACTAATAAATAACAAACTAATAAATCTAATGTCTAAAACATAAATGGAAGTCTGATTAAGCCTTGACATACCCCTGACTACAGAATCTGCCCAAATCCACATGGATAATTTCTCCAGGAAAATGGAAGGTGAGCATGCGCTCAGAGCAGACGAGAACTCACAGTTCTTTAGTTCACATCAGTTCATTTCTGCTCCTTAGAGAGGAGACCACATACAGCATAACTCTAGGTAGAAGCAACACTAAAGCTAAACAGGAATGCTTTTAATTTGCCTTAGGTTAGTTAAGAAATGGAAAGACACAACTGTTTCTATTGAAATTAGAAAAATCAAATTCTAGTTCAATGTGATCTATATAGTTTTTCCATACTGAGCAAGAGTGACATGGCAGAGCCTAGTGGAAAGCCAAACACATGGACTCCAGGTGTCTGAGATGCCAGCAGGTACCACGTTTCCCACATTTCTTCCCAGTGCCCCACACAGCTCTCAGACAGGTTCAACTCCTAGCCACATACAGGCCTCATCCCAGCAGTCCTGGCTCCTGCAGCCTCAGCCTCCTTATTCACGGAGTCTCGGTCAGATGATCGCCCGCTGGCTGTGCTGTCTAAGGAATGGCAGGAGACAGCATTGTACAGGGTCTCATAGGGACCCTCTTCTTCAGCATTTGTGTCAAAATCAATGATCAGCTCAGTCACTGCCTTCTCCACATCACCTGAAGAGAAGGTTGGAAGGCAGAGTCAATAAAAAGGGGTGCCATCACGCTTTCTAACCACTGCACCAACCCAAAGCCTCTTTAGCAATCTGAACTTGACAAACACTAAGAGCAGAAAAAACGATTACTTAGTTCTAGCAACAAGAATACATAAATACATACATATAGAGGGCTGCTTTTTATACCCTCACATCTAAACTGGTTTTTCTCTAATTCAACATGAAGGGATACAGCTCACTAGTAGACCTCTTGCTTAGCATGTACGCAGACCTGGGTTTAATCCCCCATATCAGAAAAAAATAAGAAAAACAAACTAAAAACAACCTCCACCCGAAATCTATCAGGGATTCCTCTTAAGACCTTTACGAAATTCCAAATAAACATAGCCCATAAAATGTAGTGAAGTATAAGTGGAAAACGTGAGTAATTATTTACATTCTTTACACAGTCTCCATGTGCTCAGGCAAAATAGAGGAGAGCAAAGCCTCTTTGAGAGGAGGCACTATGTAGCTGACTCACTTGCTAGACCAATACCAACCTCAGAACATCTCTGGTGGCTTGTAAATAGTCAAAATACAAATGTAAACCTCTTGAAAGCTAGGAGTTCAGTGAATGGTTAATCCACTATTAGAAAACTACGAGGTCAAGGATGAGGAAGACCAGGAATCCACAGCACAGGTCAGAGACCATTAACCCTCTACTTCTGCTTTCCTCTGGAAGGTTCCTTTCCCTTTTCCATTTCTTTTTTTGGGTCTGGTCGTGGGGCCTGAACTCTGGGCCTGGGCGCTGTCCCTCAGCTCTTCAGCTCAAGGCTAGCACTCTACCATTTGAGCCACAGCATCACTTCTGGCTTTTTTCTTTTTGCTTATGTGGTGCTGAGGAATCGAACCCAGGGCCTCAGGCATGCAAGGCAAGCCTTCTACCACTGAGCCACCTTCCCAGCCCATTCCTTTTCCATTTCTAACTTTGTTCAGTTTCTCTAGCCTTCTTTTATGATTTTTCATGTAGGGGACGATGTCACTTTTGCTTTGTTTTGTCTTTGTCACTCATCACAAGACCCAAAATGATGGTCAGTAAATCTGAAAAGGGAATCTGGCTGATGATGCAACCAGACTACATTAGTTAGCCAAATGATCTACTACCAAAATCAGCTATACAATCAGTATATACAATAGTATACACTGTTGGTCAACTATACACAATGTATAATAGAATAGGAAGGGTTCACTGAGACCTCAGAAGATCCTACACAGCCCAGAGCCAACTGTAAAAGGATACTTACACAGTCCAGAACCAACTGTAAAAGTAGAGATCAAAATTAAATAGGAAAGAAGACACCCACAATTGAAGACCTAAGATATGTCCAATAGAACTTCATATAGTAGTTTAAAAAATTAACTGAATATAAATCTGTTAAGTACTCACAACCCCCCTGAAATTATTTGAATGAAGATTTTTCCATTGCGCCTAAGAATAGTCAGCTCTTCTCAAGCAGGATGTCCCTTGACTGGCAGAGAAAGTTGCCTCACCCTGAGACTTCTGTGCAGCGGAGTCAATACTAGGGAGGAGAGACGGCTGGAGTGTGGAGGCTTTATCTATTTCTTTCGTACTTCTTTTTCCAGTCATGTGATCTATATGAAAAGAACAAAAAGAAGCTGCATAAAACACAATTGCCTTCGTCTGATTAGTACATCCCTGGTTACCCAGATGATGAGATGTACTGGTACCTTTAATAAGTGCTGCTATCTGCTGGCTCTTTTGAGAGGGCAGTTCCTGCACAGTGTCAAGGGCAGTCCGTCCATGGTTGTCTTTTATGTTGACATCAATTCCTAGAAAGACATACCAGGTAGTCCAAGGGAGTGAGCTTCTTTAAGCCAGCTTTGAAGGTCAAATTCCAGGACAACTAAAGCTCCCAAAAAGCACAACCAATACTTTTCATCCACAGTCAAATTTAATCCAGCTATTTAGGAGCAGTTCATACATTCCTAATCAACCAGCGTGTGTACGCACACACAGACACACACACACAGATGGAGTTCAAATGCAGCTAGCAAAAACTTCCTCCCTCTGGGGAGGCTGGGGAGAAACAACCCCATCCCTAGCATGCCATGTAGACAGAGCGCTGCAGACCTCTCACCTGCAGCCAGCAGGATTTGCACCACATCGGTCTTGCCAAACAAAGCAGCCGCATGCAAAGCACTGCCCATCTCCGTCTGGAAAGCAAATGAGAGCGCAGCAGGATGTCATCAGAACAGTTTGGCATGGCCTCATGGGACAAATGGGACATAGGTAAGAAGGGACAGGAAATAAACTACACAAAGCCCTCAGTCATTATCCTTCCAACTGTTCTTATGTGGGTTCTAAAACCACAATCATGGCACATACACAAATGCCATTTATTTGTGTGCCACCAGCAGGACAAATGTGAATGACAATTATTCTTGGAGCTACTTGAGCAGGGAAATTTCCTAAAACTTCTTCCTCTACCTTCCTGGATAGAAGGAATTAGAAAACAAAAGGGAAGAAGAGCATTTCAAATATGGAAAGGAAAGGGAAAAGGAGAAAGGGGAAAGAGGAAAAGAGAAAGGGACAGGGGACAGGGAAAAAGGAAAAGGGGAAGGAGAGGAGAAAGAGGAAAGGGAAGGAGAGGAACTGAATCAAGATCTTATTAAAAGGCAATTATAGCTGGTCTTGAGTGGCTCACATCTGTAATCCTAGTTATTCAGCAGGCTGATACCTGAGGACTGTAGTGCAAAGGCAGCCCAGTAAAGTCTAAGACCATTATCTTCACTAAACTACCAAAGAGCCAGAAGAAGTATGGCTGTGGCTCAAGTGGTAGAGTGGTAGCTTTGAGTAAAAGAAGCCCAGGGAAAGCGCCTAAGCCCTGAGTTCAAGCACCAGGACCAGCACAAAAAAATGCAAACAAACGAAAACATCAACAAATGTGGATTGGTCAATGTGATGCTTAATGAACCATCCCCTGAATGGGGAAGGTGAGCAAGGGAGGCAGATGCTGTCATCTTAGCAGCATCACAGCAAAGATTGGTGGCCATAGCAACATATATGTCAGGGAGAAAATGATTTTAAAAGATAGGCCATAGTATGTCTTTTCAGGGTTAAAAGACTAGATATCATTCCCTGAAAAGGAAAAAAATAAAAACAACAGACTCACTGGAAGCTCATTTGTCTCTAAAGTAGCACATAAAAACAATTCAATAAATGGAAGAACCTGAAACATGATGTGAAATGTGCTAAATACTAAGAGCACAGCAGCATGTTGCTTTTTCGCTTTTTCCAAAATAGCTAAATCCCCTGCACCTGGGAGAAGCATCCGCCCTGCTACCTGGTAGTTGCTATCCATGCCAGCATCCAGGAGGACCTGGACCACAGCCTTGTGACCGTTCCTTGCTGCCAGGTGCAGAGGGGTGTGCTTCTTTGTGTTGCAGCTCAGGAGATTGGGGTGCGCGTTGAGAAGCATCTTCACCACCTCTAGCCTCCCGTAGAGTGCTGCCAGGTCCAAAGGTGTCTCAAACTTGTTGTTGCGCATGGTGGGGTCAGTGAGCTCCTCTAAGAGCACCTTCACCACCTCAGTGTGGCCATACTGGGCGGCACAATGTAGGGCTGTCTCGTTGTCATTGTTCTGAAGGGTTAACAAGTGCATGGCATCAGAAAGGTGACAGACAGACCAGTACCTGGCCAGCATAATCACACATAAAAACCACTGAAATTTAAATGAGAAAAATTGCAGCAATAACCTGGAGACTAATACAAGTCAGAACCCATGCATACTCTTGGGGAAAGCCTGATCCTTCCCTTCAGCCACTGCTTCCCCATTTCCTTCCAGAGGGGAGTGGTCGTCCCCCAAACATCTGTAGTCCCTCATGCTGTGAAGGCTACATTTCGAAACTGCAGGGAGAGTGAATGTGGCAGGCATTTTGTAAAAGCCCCAGTGCATTTGAATACTAATCATATCACTGCCATTGTTTCATTTTAAACTTCAGTTGGTTTTTACAGTTTATGCATTTTCAACCTTGCGCTTTTGATTCTGGAATTGTCAGCTATCCTCTGCCTTTCACACAATTTTTTTTTTTTTAAGGTGAGGGGTTTGGTCATCTGTGTAACTTCTTGCATGCAAATCAATCAGCAAACAATGGAAATAACAGAGTTAAGTACTAAAAAAGCACCACTCTCAAGGTATCAGCCAACAGCCATTTCCAGTGGAGCAAGGCACTGGTTCAGTTGTGAAGGGACATGGCCCCTGCCCCTGTGCCTAGCACCAACACTCTAGGAGCCTTTACCAATCAATACATGCAGTATCTACTCCACTAAAACAAAAGCCCACACAGGAAAGCACTTCTTAGGTAAGAAGGGTACAATTAGACCTGGAATGTTTGATTATGAGAGGTGCAAAATATTAAAATGTAACACTGACATTAATTCAGATTCATAACTCGTAACCTTCTAGTGACAATTTTGTTTAAAACTAAACATGCGGTCTTGATGTAACAGGAAAAAATATTTGGGCTTTTTCAGCTATCAGAAGCAAAACATTAGCAATTTTAATTATGTTTCTTTCTCTCCTTGTTGAGAAGCCCCAATGAAAATAATCCTCCCACAAGATTTTGAAATCCCCAAATTTCTCCAAGAGGCTTCTGCCATTTTGGGGAAACAAAGCTTAAGTGGGAGGCTGTCCATCATGCTAATATTGTGCACTTCTCAGTGGTCAAGAGGTAAAAATCAAGTACTGCTACCATTGTTTAATTCAATTAATGACATTAAAGTAGTGTATTAGGAATTACCCAAACATGCACGCAATTCCATCCGCTTTTGATCTGGCATTTGACTGCATCATTTTTTCCAGCTATACCAAGTGTACCAGAAAGATCCAGAGCTGCTGGGAGCAAGGCCCCAAGAGGGCAAAATCACAGCGAAGACATTTTAAATGAAAAAGAGGTCAGAAAAGAGAGCAGCAAGAGCACATGCAAAGAGAAAGGCACACAAATAAATAAAACAAAGATGCAGAGGGAGGGGCACTGAGCTCCAGCACAGCTCAGGAACAGCAGCTGATAAGAAAGCGCAGCCTTCCATGGCTACCGTACCCAGCCTACTAGCAACTGCCTCCTGTGACACCCTGGGCCCCATGAATGAGTTCTATGTCAACCTAGAAGTCTGAAGGAAGGGCAACTGTTGGGCAGAAAGCAAAGACTTGGGGCTCCCTATGCCAAACAAACCAACTGGAGAGCCACTTGGAATGCTCATTTCCTGAGCAAACCCAGAGCTGTCAGTTCTCACTCTCCAGATGAAAATCACACTGCTACAGCAACAGGACTCACAGGAGCTTTGTAGAACTCTGGGGCAGAGTGGCAGCCCAAAGAATCTTAAGCGTATCCTCTGGGTTTTACATCTCAAGATTAGCATGACAGCAAGGGCCAAGGAGTCGGCTTATTCTTATTAAAACTCCAATCCAGAAAAACTTGTTTACTCAGAGGCAAATAGTACTGTTTCTTTCACATCCAAGTTGTCTCCCAACATCCAGAATAATCTGTCCTTGATTCTGTAAACAGTATGACATTAGGAACTGAAGAAATATAAAATTCTATTCAGTGAGAATAAAATACAAAGGTTGGGAGCAAAGTCCAGGCTCAGGGTTAGAGCACATGCTTAACAGGCATGGGTTGGGTTCAGTGTCTAGCACCTACTCTACCTCTCCCCTCCCCCCAACACACACTGTTTTTTTCTGTTTTGTTTTGCTTTGTTTTTACAAGAATAAAGGTGGGTGTCACAAAGATGCCTCTTTAAAGGCAAAATCTTGATCATTACTGAACAATTCCTTGCCTCATGTTAATAATGGTCCAACCACATATGCAAAAAGTTATGGCCATATTTGTATAGAAAGTACCTAAGTGTATTTCACTCTTGCTAGATATGTTTAGTACTTATAACTCTCTTGAGGTTAAGTCTGCTCTTTGAGCTTGACAACTGTTGGGTTAAGAAATCATTAAAGCTGGGTACTAGTGGCTCATGCCTGTAATCCTAGCCAGTCAGGAGGCTGAGATCTGAGGATCATGGTTCAAAGCCAGATTAGGCAGGAAAGTCCATGTGAGACTTTTATCTCCAAGTAACCATCAGAAAACCAGAAGTGGCACTGTGGCTCAAGTGGTAGCTCAGGGATAGCACCCAGGACCAGAGTTGAAATGCCACGAATGACCAAAAAAAAAAAGAAATGGTTAAGTGTTGGTTCAGAGATCCTCAAGAAAGAGGTGATTCCAAGGAGCTATTTGGAATCCTTCCCTTTTACTCTTTTCCAGTGACACTACAGGTGCTCATGCCTCAAGAGTTCTTGGAATCATATATATTATGCATATTACTATGAGGAAAGGGAATGAGATGAAATAACCTAAAACCCTTCTTTCCTACCCACCCTGGCTTTCTCTCCCACTTTTCTTTGTTATGATTGGTACTTCTAAGAAAAAAAGAGATCTCTGTGGCTAATTCTCTAATTCTCGTATCTGAAGAGTCCATTCAAGTATAAATCAATCAATCAATCAATCAAAACATATTATATATTCACAAACTACAAGCAGCAGAAAATTATACAGACACATTTCTATTCCTTTCTCTTCTTGGAAGTATATCAGGATCATCACCTTCCTGTGCTTGGATTACACCTCTAGGGCACATTTATTCTTATTCCTTGGTGACAGAGATCTGTCTACATTAGGGACACCTGGGCTACAGTTATTCTACAGGCTCTAGAAGCATCCAAATTGGAAAGGAAAAACTGGGTCTATGAGACTGTAGGTATGTGAAAGACAAGAGAACCAAATCTACAATGTAAAAGAAGAGTCAGACTTATATTCTCTAGTACTCTAGAAAGCAGAATTTCAGCCAAAATGAAAGGTTTAGGAACACAGACATCAACTAAACATAAGAAAGTAGAAATCAGTGGTATCTAAGAAGAGGCTACCATGCAGAAATGAATTGTCTGTTGTTAAGAAAAACTAATACATAAATAAAGGACAGATGGCCAACCTTTCAGGGATAGAGCAAGATCATTCCTGATCAGTGGCTCTCAAACCAACTTCACTTGGAATTACATGAAGCTGAAAAATAATTGGTAGTATGTATAACCTCAGACTTACCAAGAAACACCTCAAAGGGAAGGCAAGGAAAAAATATTATTAAGACTCTGTCAGTCTGGTTGTACAGTAACTGGAAGTCTGAGACAGAAGGATGATCACTTCAAGGCTGTTTTGAACTATACCATGAGACTCTGTCTCAAAGAAAAACAAAGACTAGAGTTATAGCTCAATGGAAAAATATTTTTTTAGTATGTGCAAAGATCCTGGGTTCCATCATCAGTATTACAAAACAAAACAAAAACCCACAGGCACCAACTCAGTTATTATCCTCATCAAGGAGACAAACTGACATTATATGCCCTGTGATATGATGCACTACAAACAGCAGCTCTGTCTGTGCCGTTCCTATCAGAAATGGATAATCTGAATTTAATCTCAAGGGACAGCCAGATAAACCTAAGGAGCAGTTCACACAGCAGCTGGCCTATGCTTTTACAAAATGCCAGCGTCAAGTCAGGTTCTGGTGGCTCATGCCTGTCAACCTAGCTACAGAAGAAGTTGAAACCTGGAGAATAGTGGTTCAGGGCCATTTGGAGCAGAAACGTGACTCAAATAGTAGAGCACCAGCCATGAGCAAGAAAACTGAAAGCTATAGTACTGCTGTATGAGCGTGCACACACACACACACATGCGCATGCACACACACACACATACATACATACACACACACACAGAGCCAATGTCATAAAAGAGTAAAAAAAGGAAGAACAATTCCACATTTTACATGATTCTGGGTTGGATCCTAGTGCAAAGGGAAAAAAACAAACAAAAAACAAGCTCTAGTGCTCGCTTCAGCAGCCTATGTACTAAAACTGGACCAGTACAGAGAAGATTAGCATGGCCCCTGCACCAGGATGCCACACAAAGTTGTGAAGCATTCCACATTTGTGGAAAGTGCTCTGAACACTATTGATAATTGGCAGCATGTGAACACAGATCATGTATTGGATAATATCGTCTTAATTTAGCATTTTCTGAACTTAATAATCATGGTTGCATAAATAAATTTCCTTGTTCTTGGGAGATTTAATTTGAAGAACTAACACTAAATGGAAGCATTTAGGATTGAAGAGTCATGATATTCATGACTTAACTACAAGTAGTTTGTCCTCAGTTACAGCAACAATTAAACATATACATACAGAGATAGCCAGCTGGGAAATGTTAACCATTGGAGTAATGAGAAGCACACACCACATTTCACTGCAAGTTGGGAACTGTTCCCAAACAGATTTTTAAAAGCTTCCCACATGATTCTGATATAGCCCAACGCACTCAGAATTGTGGTTCTAGATAAACTCAAGTCCCTTCCAGCTCTGAGAGCGCAAAGCCTCTTTAAGTGGATAGAATAGACCTGCCCTAAAACTAATTGCTGCCAACTCCATGATATTCAGAGGCATCAAAGTGGTTATAAGGTAGGGGATAAACATTTTCACAGTTTCACCTTAACTACAGTGACTTACATTTGGCCTGCTCTGTGTTCCTTTGCTGAACAAGGAAAGGTCTCAAATGCTACAGAAGCTATCACAGCTCATGGAAATTTGGGCTGGATATCTGGCTCAGAGGGTACACTACCCGTATAGCAAGTGTGGGGCTCTGAGTTCAACCTCAAAAATTAGGAGAGGGGAAAAAAAATTGATGAACCTTCTTAAGCTGTTGTAACAAAAATGCCATGTACTGAGTGAGTGGCTCAAAAACAACAGAAAGAACTCACAAAACCACATCTGTTCCCAGAATGCCATCTAAAAGTTCTAAAATTTTACTGGTACTTAATAGGATTTAGCATTGAAGTGTAATTTAGCAAAAATAATTCCTAGTCATGAGCCAAGTTAATAAAATACCAGGAAGTCAGGACAAACCTGGGCAGGCTAGACAGAACTGGCTTCAGAAGGATCAGCTGCCAAAGACCCGAACACTCAGCATAAGCAAACCGCTCTGACCCTTCCAGCAGTGCGCATCATTAGGTCTTGAGAGGGGGAGGGAGCAACCAACCATGCTTCCAAAGACAGGAGTAGGTTTGCATTACATTCAGACAATTTTCTTTTATGCATGCCAAAATTAAAGTACTTCTAAAAACCAAAGTCATAGCTTTTAATCATAGCTTTACAAGCTAACTAAACCACCACTAGGAAATAATAACCTCAGGTCCTTCCCCGCAAAACCAAGCCCCGAAGAGTCTAACTTGGCAATGTTTCACTAATCATCACCTACTAAAAACAAAAAGATTCCAAATGTTTTTGCAAATATACCACATTATGTACATTAAAAAATTAGGGCCTCAAATATTACTAGTTACCAGATTTTTAACTTTATCTTATTAAAACTCCAAACCAATAAAAAGAAGAAAAAAAATCCTCCAAACCAGGGCTGGGGACAAGGCTCAAGTAGTAAAGCACATACCTCGTAAACACAGGTCGAGTTAACAATGTAGCAAGTTTTGTTTTTTGTGCAGGTACTGGGGCTTGAACTCAAGCCATGTATTCTTGCTCAGCTTTTTCACTCATAGCCAGTGCTCTACCACTTAAGCTTTGCCTCCAGTCCAGTATTTTTGCTAGTTAACTGAAGATTGTCTCTTGGATTTGTCAGCTAGAGCTGGCTTTGAACCTCAATCCTCACAGCTCAACCTCCCAAGAGGCTGGGATTAGTGAGCTACTGGCTTTTGGCTTGACATCCCATTTTATAGAAACCAGGCTAAGAGAAATCAAGCAACTTATTTAATACAACAAAACTCAAAACTAGCAGCCCAGAACTCAAGTTTGGATCTTATAAGAAAGCTTATGACCTCTAAGTTTTCTACTCTATTGTTCTACTCCCCACCTCCACACCCAAAGCATCTAAAACATAGTATCTTTCCATTTGAAAACAAGAACGTTAAAAACCAAACAGATTGAGATGCTGTACTACCTAGGATTAAAGTGCTTCTCTTCCATTAAGGCCCAACAGCTAAAATCTCCTACAAGACATCCAGGGTCAGCCCTTGGTGAACCGCTATTTGCTAAATCTATTGGGGAGGGAGAGCATGAAATTTCTGCTCTGCAAGGTTTTCATTTTGTTTTGTTTTTTGGTGCAATGCAGCTGCTAAGATTCAAAGTTCCCTAGGGAAGACCTGAGGGCAGAGAAGGCTAGGCTGCTCTTCACACATCTATCAACCCTACAGCAGCCCTGGATACTACTAGGCCAATGTCCTTGGCATAACCAGTTATATCATTTCCTATTTCATAGCCCTACATGGGTCAAGGATGAACAAGCAGAAAGAGAAGGTAATGGCTAGAGAGGCTGGACAGAAGCTGTAAAGCATCATGTGTTAAAGCAGAAGCTCTTAGATGCAAGAGGGAAGTGGTAAGCAGGAGCTTTCCAAAGACTAAAGCAGAGTCTTCACACACGCCTACTTCCACCATGGCTATTGAAACCTGAGAGAAAGTCAGATTTGACTTTCAAAGTTAATCGTTTTTCTGTGCTTATTCAAAAGTAAGTTAATTTGAGTGCTTTTTTTTTTTTAGGGGGGGATGGTCTGGTCGTGGGGCCTGAATTCTGGGCCCGGGCGCTGTCCCTCAGCTCTTCAGCTCAAGGCTAGCGCTCTACCACTTGAGCCACAGCGACACTTCAGGCTTTTTTCTTTTTTCTTAATGTGGTGCTGAGGAATTGAACCCAGGGCCTCATGCATGCAAGGCAAGCACTCTACCACTGAGCTACCTTTCCAGCCCCATTTGAGTGTTTTGTTTTTTTTTAATTTAAATGATTTTAGAAGTTGCAGTAGCAAACTAATTATACAATGGGCCCTTCTATTTCCCTGTTGCTGCCATTTCAGATGGTCCACCTTTCCAGAATTAGTACGGGTTTTAAAAATAAAACCATGTAACCCTTCTGTATACCTCCTTTATATTATCAATAAAAAAATAAAAAAAAAATAAAACCATGTGCAGGATAGCTGCATTTTCCTGTTCCCAAACAAGCCAAAGCAGACGTGCTGAAGCAACAACAGTGAGGGTGATTGGAGGAGCCTGAGTGGACAAGAGTAGACGCCAGAGGGGACCACAGGAGTACAGCATGGAGAAAGAATGATGCAGAGAAATCCTGGCAACAAAGTACACACCTTGGCATTGATATAAGGGTCAAAGGGGCCGTACTTTTTGAGTTCTTTGATCTCAAGAGCATTCTACAAAAAGGAGAGGAAAAGAAAAGGTGATGATAAAATGGATGAAATATATCAAAGCAATATACTGCCCGAGGGGGGCCCAATGCTAGAATAACTTGAATCTGCCTTCTGGATGCCTTACAAAGAAGTTCTTGGATAAGACAACCTCAATACTTCAGTACCCCCTTATGTCCAAGCATCCAGTGGGAACCACATTTATGCCTTAAATAAATCAATGCAGTGCTTATAACTACCTACATTAATTAGGGTGTTCAAGCTACCGTAGTCATCTTGCCCAGCCCCTTCCCCACCCACCTTCCTGCCAGATAATCAAACACTTGGGCTGGACTCCACATAACAATGAATACTCCAGGCAGGAGGCAGCTGTGAGCTGGACAAGCTAGCACACTCAAGTGGCTCAAAAATACAAGCAGCTGTGTTCCAAGCAAAAGGCAGGATTAGAAATGGTTGCTGAAAATTGCTTTAAAAAGTACTTTAATGGGGAATCCCATTTTTCAATGTTTAAGAATATTAGTTATAAGCAAGCTTCTTTATACATTCCCTCCAGAGAAAAGAAATTATCACTGAGGTCAGGAGGAGTAAAATCGCATTTAGAGTCTACAGAGGCAATTCTAAAGAGACAATTTGCATCCCAAATGTTCTATGCCAGCATTCTCATTGATTATTTGAAGTGTCTTTTGCTCACCTGCCCAACCCATTACATGGAGAGGCAGAGTGGGTGACTGATAACTACAATCTCAAGATGGAGATATCTAGGGACTGGACTTGACTTCCACTCAGAGAGAAGATGACCTTCTCAGAATCAAGTCATGCTCTTAACAGCCCACTAAGAACTTACCTGGATCCTATTGATTTCTCACTTTTTGAGGAAAAATCTTGTTAAATCTTGTAAGTAATTTAACAATCTCCTCTCAGCAAAGTCACTGAACACAGTCCTCATCTTATGAGAAAGAGCAGCATCTCCTTCATCCAAGCAATGAGAAAATCACCTGCTTCAGCTCAGTGTCAAGCGGAACACAGGAGACTGGCTTGTCATATAGGGAAAGGCCTCCCTGCCCCCACGGGGGCCCCTCCTTCCCCCAGCCAGGCTCTGATCCAGGGAGGGACTCACTGGGGAGACTTGTCTCAGCATTGCATAACTCAACTATCATTTTCCCAAAGGAATAACTCAAAAGCAATGTAATCTAGGAATATTTAAATCTGGCACTTCAAGACTGTGGAGGTTTTGTTGTTGCTTTTAAGATAGTCCAGGCGTGCCTCAAATTTTCAGTCTTCCTACCTCAGCCTCCTAACTGCTGTGATTACAGACATGTGAACCATCATGTGTACCTTATGTATTTTCCTTAAATGTTGCTTTAAAAAAATGTTTAAACTCCAGGCTTAGTGTTGCTCGGCAGGCACTCCACTACTAAAGCCACACTTCTGATCCCTTTTTATTTTTCAGATAGGGTCTCTCACTTTTTTTGAGGGGTGCTGGCCTCAGAACATAATCCTCCTACCCATACTTCTTGTGTAGCTGGGATTACAGATGCAGGCCATGATGTTCAGTTTGGGTCTTGCTAACTTTTGCCCAGGCTGGCCTCTCACACCTCTCAGAATTTACTCCCCAAGTAGCTAGGATTATAGATGTATGTCACCACGCACATCCTGTCTTTCTCATTTTCTAAGAATTATCACTGCTTTCTCACTTATCATTTATTTCTTATGATCTTCATTCTAGTGGATGACTTCTGACCTCCAATAACATTTCTGACTTGTTAGTTATTTTTCAGTACTAACCTGTATTTTCACTTTTTTTTTCCTTCCTTCCTTTCTTTTTCTTTTCTTTTTTTGTGGCACTGGAGCTTGAACCCAGGGCCTTTCACATGTTAGGCAAGCATTCTGCTGCTTGAGCCACACCCTAGCCCTTTTCATTTTATTTTTGTTTTTGAGATGGGGCTTCACTACTCTTATCAGTGCTGGCTTTGAACTCAAGATCCTTCTGCTTCTACCTATGCAGCTGTTAGGATTATAAATGTGTACTATATCTGGCCACTCCTGCATGTTCTGATGTATGTAAAATAACAAATGACTCACATAGTACTGACTAACACTGAGAACATTGCATTGCTATGTTGACTGCATAAACTCAATTTATGCAGTCCACAAGTTTTAAATTGGTACTATGCAATTTTGAATGATTTTCATTATTTCAAATTCTGCATGTATAGTGTATATGATTATTATGGTACTATTCCAAATCTGCATGAGTCAGACACATATAAAATGTATCCTCCTGGTACAGCAGTATGAATGTGAGGAGGACGAGTGTGGGATATGGATGAAATGGCTCTGAGGTATGCACTCTGTGACTGCAATGGTGATGGACAGCCACAGTGCATCTGTAGCTGAATATAGGGAGAAAAGCTTCTCTTCTTCCAACCTGTTCATTGACTCTGGTATGTGAGGGCCCTTGATGGATGAGCAACCGCACTATCTGGGCATCTCCTTTCCAGGCTGCCAAATGCAGAGGGTAACAGCCTTTTGAGTCAGCCACATTGGTAAGTGCATCATTCCTCAGGAGGACCTCGACCACGTCCCTAGAAGGCAAAAATCAATCATGAGTCTGCAAAAGAACCCCAAAGTCTTTCCTGCTACCAGATCTTTATATTTGTAGCACAAGGCCCTCCCAGATAGGATCTTACTGACTAAGCTGTCTCTTCCTGAGTTCACTGTCAGGCTTTTTCCTCATCTTCCCAGAACTTTGTGTCAGAACCATCATGAGCCAATGACTCAGTGCCTCCCAGGAGGGCCTTCTCAATGACCCATCCATCCGCTTCCCACTACTTTGAAAACCTCTGTTCTCCCTCCCTACATATTGAACCATTTTCTGGTTTGTGATGTTTAAAGTAGCACTCAGGGATAGAATATACATAAAAGTAGTCAAACAGCTGGGCAAAGGGCACAGGTGGCTCATTCCTGTAATCCTAGCTACTCTGGAGGCTGAAATCTGAGGATCATGCTTCAAAGACAGTTGAGGTAGGAAAAGTCCATGAGGCTCTTAGCTATAATTAAACCAAAAAAAAGCTGGAGGTAGCTAGCCTTGAGTAAAAACAAAGCTCAGGGACAGTACCCAGGCCTGAGTTCAAGCCCCATGATTGGCATACACAAAGAAAGTTGTCAAACAAGACAAGTTCCACCATGTTATTCAAATTTACTGATTCACAATTTGGTGGTTCTGGAGCTGCAAATGAACAGGCAAGGCAGAACTCAAGCTGTTGTGAACATAAGCCAGACACATATGGAATCATTTGATAGCTCCAGAAAGAGGAGTTGGCTCTCTTTTTGCAACAGCACTCATTAAGCACATTAGGCCAAAGAAAATCCTCACTATAAATAAGAAGCAGTGTGTGGATATGAACTTGGCTAACAAGCTACAGTCCTTTGAGTTCAACATTCACTTCAATTCAGGTTTCCATTACTTAGGAGGGAAGAGGTCTTAATTGTGCTTACCCTGTGCTGGGCCACCACAGCTCCCTTACCTGAAGCCCATGCATTTATGTCTCTGCCTTGCCCTCAGACTACTTTACCCTGGGCCCACAGCTTTCAGAAAAATGTCGTATTTCCAGATGAATGCCACCCAAGAATCCAGAAACTTCCTTATACTTTAGAAAATGAAACAGGCAGTGTTTATTATGGACATATTTTCCCCTATTTCTTATCTACAGGGCTAATTTTATGAGGCAAAATAATGGCAACGGGGAGGAAACAGAGTAAAGACAAGTTTCCCATGCCCGCTGAGTCGTTTGTTTATCAAGGGGTTAGTCTGCCAAGAGATCCCAGTCCCCTTCTGACCTGAGCACACCAAATTTGTTCTCCATATTGCTAGCATTGCACTAAATAGCACTGGAACCTTTCAGAGAAAAAAGGACAAGCAGGGGGGAAAAAAAGGTAAAATTCAACCTTTAGCTAAACACTTTTCAGGAGGGGCAGGAGAGTCAATGGGGAAAAAAATGGGCTGGGAATGTAGCTTAGTGGGACAGTGCTTGCTTAGCATGCATGAAGCTCTGGGTTCTATTCCACAGTACCATATATACAGAAAAAGCCTGAAGTGGTACTGTGGCTTAAGGGGAGAGTGCTAGCCTTGAGCAAAAGAGGCTCAAGGACAGTGCCCAGGCCCTCAGTTCAAGCCCCAGGACTGGCAAAAAAAAAAAAAAGGGAGGGGAGCTGGGCGCTGGTGGCTCACGCCTGTAATCCTAGCTACTCAGGAGGCTGAGATCTGAGGATTGCAGTTCAAAGCTAGCCCAGGCAGGAAAGACTGTGAGACTCGTGTCTCCAATAAGCCACCAGAAAACCAAAAGTGGTGCTGTAGCTCAAGCGGTAGAGCGCTCGCCTTAAGCTGAAGAGCTGAGGGACAGCGCGCAAGCCTAGAGTTCAAACCCCATGACCGACCAAAAAAAAAGGGGGGGGGGATTCTGAATGGGTGAAATTTAGTTTGTGTTCATTTGTTTCACAACAAAGGACAATAGGAAGCAAAAGAACACTCCAAAAGCCAGGCACAGAGCAGGCAGAAAGGTAGCTCACTAGTACTTACTTATGACCATTCAGCGCAGCATGGTGCAGGGGTGTGTAGCCGGTGCTGTCAACACAGTTCACATTTGGCCCTCTCCACATGCTATCAGAGGGGAAAAAGGAGACATTTCACAGGTTGAAGTCACAAAACAAGTTCAAATACTTCACAAAAATTTCTCTATAGTCTTTAATCAAGTTAGAGGTCTTCCAAATAACTCAAATGTATACTACAGAAGTACATAGCCCAGAGGATGTAAAGAGCCAAGCATCAAGCCCACAGTGTCACCCCTGAGAGCTTGTTCTCACCCTCTTTCCTTCTGTAGCCACAACTTACACCTCTGAGTGCTCCCAGTTCACTGGGAAGTCACCAAAGCATCAGGAAAGCAAACTATTCAGCCAGAGCAGGTACTCAGTGCCATGTAGGGCGAGTACCCTCCCTGTCCTGGAGACTGAACCCAGAGAGAGACCACACTCAACATAGACCATCCAATAAAGAGATTCAACCAGCAAGGGCCAACATCAAAGAAGTAGCAAGGTACACATGCTAAGATGCAACTGTCTTTCCTTTGTGAGTACAACTGGTTCCCAACAATCATGGATTCTACATCCACAGGTTCAATTAACTGTGAATCGAAAATACTCATTAAAAAAATGAATCTATGTCCGGGTACCAGTGGCTCATGCTTGTAATCCTAGCTACTCAGGAGGCTGAGATCTGAGGATCATGATTCAAAGCCAGCCCAGGCAGGAAAGTCCGTGAGACTCTTAACTCCAATAAATCACCAGAAAACTGGAAGTTGCTCTGTGGCTCAACTGTTAGAGCACTCGCCTTGAGCTGAAAAGCTGAGGGACAGCGCCCAGGCCCAGAGTTCAAGCCCTATGACCAACAACTACAACAAAAAAAATGCATCTGTGTCAGGTACCGATGATTCACGCCTGGAATCCTAGCTACTCAGGAGGCCGAGATCTGAGGATTGTGGTTCAAAGGCAGCCCAGGCAGGAAAGTCCTTGAGACTCATTTCCAATTAACCACCAGAAAACTGGAAGTAGTGCTATGCCTCAAGTGGTAGAGCCTTCACCTTGAGCTGAAGAGCTCAGGGACAGTGCCTAGGCCCATAGATCAAGACCTATGACCGACCAAAAAATAAAATAAGCATACACAGACCTTTGTTTTCTTTTGATTCCTGAAAGAGTACACTATAAAAACTGTTTGCGCCGGGCACCAGTGGCTCATGCCTGTAATCCTAGCTATTCAGGAGGCTGAGATCTGAGGATCACAGTTCAAAGCCTGCCCGGGCAGGAAAGTCTCTGAGACTCTTATCTCCAATAAAAACCACTAGAAAAAAATGGAAGTGGCACTGTAGCTCAAGCGGTAGAGCGCTCACCTTGAGCTGAAGAGCTGAGGGACAGCACCCAAGCCCAGAGTTGCCCCATGACCAACAAAAAACAAACAAAAAACAAAACTGTTTGCATAGCACTTACATTGTAATAAGTACTATGAGTAATCTAGAGATGACTTAAAATGTATGGGAAAGTGTTGTCTATATTTTGGTAACCTTAGAGGTTCTAGAACTAATCCCTCAGGGGTCCTGAAGAATGACTTATTTGTATATATCTATGTGTATATGAAAGAGAGAGACAGAATGTGTATAAACTAACAAAATCTATCACGAGTGTCTTACTGAAGCAGAAATACCATAACTGAGAAACAAAAATGCCACATCAGTCTTCAAAGCCTCAAAAGGCTTTATTTCTAAGATATTAAGTAGCAGAGGACAGCCCTGTCACATCTGACATGTATTATGTGTGTGTTGTGTAGTATGTGAACACAGTAACACTCTTTCAGATTTTATATGCTTATTTTTTGTGGTTCTTGGGCTTAAACCCAGAGAGCATCTCTGTATTCAGAAATCATTGACAGATAGCACTAACGTTATAAACAGTTGCCAGTAAAGCTTTTAGTCCCACATTATTTACAACAATAGCATTTTGGAGCTTGATATCAGTAAAGAAATTACTGCAACTACACGATGGACACTGAGTAAAATATTATATACTAGTTGTATATATAGTATAGTAAATGTTAAAAAGCAAAAACAAAAAAACAAGGAGCTGGGAATGTGGCTCAGTGATAAAGTGCTTAGCTAGCATGCATGAAGCCCTGGGTTTGATTTCTCAGTACCACATGAACAGAAAAAGCCAGAAGTGGTGCTGTGACTCAAGTGGTAGAGTGCTAGCCTTGAGCAAAAGAAGCTCAGGGACAGAGCCCAGGCCCTGAGTTAAGCACAGGACTGGCAAATAATAATAATAATAATGTAAAATACTGTTAAGGTGTCACTCAGAAATAAATTCCTCAGGACAATGGATTGAGTGTACAAGTTTATTCCATCTCCTGCCTCAGATTTGATGAAGAAGACAGAAAATATATGCTACCCTACACTGACAGAGTGGTGGATTCAGCCCAAGAAAAAAGGAAAGATTTTTGTAAAGTCATCAGTAACACTGAGAAATTCTAAACAGGCAGAAAGCATATAAGGTCAGATCTAAAGAGACACAATCTAGACGGATCCAAATTACAATATTCACATATTGCTTTTCACCTATCACACTGAAAAAAAAATGAAAATAATGACAAAGCAAACCCTCTTCACCAGCACCACTAGTATGAGGTAAAATTAGTAAATTCCTGTGGGAAGACAATCTGGTACATTTATCAAAACCAAAATAGTGTTTGAGCTGGCAATTCCATTTCCAGGCACCTATCCAACAGAAAACTTGTGCATTTGTACAAAGACATATGCTTGCATAGGACTGCTTTAAATATTAGGAATAACTGTAAAATTAAATAATACTATACACCATTAAAGAAACAACAAAAGGAATGGAATGGAATGGAAAGAAGTTGGAAGTGTATGTCCTGACATGGAAAGAGTTCCCAAAACACAGTGTGTTATGGGTAAAAGAAAATCAGAAGTTACTGTACAGCACACAGAATATGAGACCCTTTTCACAAATGTTCATGTACATCCTGCTGTGAATGGATGGAGACTAGAAGATACCACCAAATACTGACAGTGGTTACCTCTGTGGAAGGAAATCAGATGATTTCCATGTTTTGCTACCTGTTCATTCTCTTTAGAATATTTACAGTGAAACTGTAATTCATGTAGGTTTTTTATAATAATTCCAAAAGGGAACATGGTGACCCCAAGAAGATGAAAAGTACATCAAGATGTTAAAAATAAATATGACAGGTCACTTTAATAAATATGTAGATATTAGATTTTAAATATTAGGATTAGCTGGCTGCTGGTGGCTCACATCTGTAATCCTAGCTACTCAGGAGGCTGAAATCTGAGGACTGCAGTTCAAAGTCAGCCTGGGCAGGAAAGTCCAGAAGACTCTTTTTTTGTGGGTTTTTTTTTTTTTTTTTTTTTGGCCAGTCGTGGGGCCTGAACTCTGGGCCTGGGTGCTGTCCCTCAGCTCTTCAGCTCAAGGCTAGCGCTCTACCACTTGAGCCACAGCGCCACTTCACTCTTATCTCCAATTAACCACCAGAAAATGGGAAGTGGTGTTGTGGTTCAAATGGTAGAGTGCCCAGGCCCAGAGTTCAAGTCCCATGATAGGAAAAAAAATATCTTAGGATGAATTTAAGTTATGAATGGTGGGATTCTTCAAAGCAAAGGAAACAACCAACAAAGGAAGAACATCTGGAGTAGGAGAAAGTATTTGCAAGTCATATATCTGATAAGAGTCTAACACCCAAACAGATAACCTGACTGAAAGAAAAGGTACTTCTCAAGACATACAAATGATTAGCAATTATATGAAAAACTCCTCAACACCAATAACCATCAGGAAGATGCACATCGAAACCATACATAATGTGATTATTTTCACACCAGTCAGAATGGCAATTAATTTTTTTTAAAGCTAAGCATCAGGGAAAGTGTGGAGAAAAGGGAACTCCTGCATACTTCCGCATATGAGAGCAGCAGGTGAGTAGGCTGTGATGAGAGGCCTCCAGGAGCAAAAACATATACCCTATTGGGAAAAATCTAAAGCCAAAGATGGGTGAAGACATGGCTCAAGTGGTAGAGCATTTACCTAGTAAGCTCAGGCTCTGAGTTCAATCCCCAGCACCACTAACAAGGAATAAAGGAAAGGAGAAGGAGGGAAGTGGGGAGAAGGGAGGGTAAGTTAGTAAGGGGAAAAAGAGAAGAAGGGAGGGAGGAAGGAAGATAGATAAGGAGGGAGGGAGGGAGGCAAGCAGGCAGGCAGACAAAATAGAAGAGGGGAGGGGAGGGGAGAGGTAGGAAGAGGTACCCAGGTTATTTGTTCATTGCTAGAGGATGGCTAATACAAGGTGATGAGCCTGAAGTAGATCTTGACACCTTATCCACCATGAAGCGTGGACCTCTACAGCACTTTCCAATCTAGGCATTACAGTTTTGTTTCTTTGTCACACCTATACAATGACCTCATTTTCAAAAACTGAAACTTGTATCACTGTGCCTAACAAGGAAGCAGAAGGTTGTAAAGTAAATTGGATCTGGAAAAATCTAGGAGATAGTTTTAATGTAAATTGTCATGCAAGACAGTTTATTTTATGAAAAAATAAGTGCCACTATGAATCTAAAAGCAAATTACCTGTCCCAGGGGCTGGAGGCATGGCTCTGTTGGTAAAGTGTCAGCCAATAAGCAAAAGCATCAGGTACTGAGTTTGGACCAAAAAAAAATTATTTGTGCCAAATCAGTGGCAGATCCAAAACTCGCACGACAACATGAAGTAAACACACATCAGTACAAAGTTTTACATAATTCAAAAGCAAAATGACCTGAATAAGCCAACAGGAGCAGAGGGCGTGAAACATCAGTGCTGAGCAAAGAGAGCACAGGCCTGTCAGCAACCAGCCCAGCCCACTGGGGCTTGGCTCCTACCTCTGTAGAACCTCAACCCACTTCCAAAAGAACATTAAAAACTAAGAGCTAAACTGCCCCTTATCTCAGCAAGGAGGAAGGATTCATCAAGCCTCCCAACGTTTCTTTACCTTCATGACTCTGGTTTACAAATGATTAAGCTTGGACATCCTATACTAGCA